TATATAAAGAGAACGTAAATAATGTGTAGTTCGTGTTTCATCACGATAATTACATATAGTATTAATACGAGCGCCATTATTATCACTTTAAACTGTCAAAGATATTTCTTAGTGGAGAGTAGAATTTTTTTTATTAAGCTGAGTATACCAAATTTACCATTTTTAAGAAATTGAGGTTTTATTTTAGAGTACATTCTTGACTGCCCCTTCTGACACTCCTCAAACCTTCCGTGTACTATTACTGCTCGATTGGTAGCGGACTTTCAGCTCAGACAACTAATTCTCTGGTCGAATTCCTCCCGTACGGATGGATACATTAGGACCTTTTCCCTTAAGATACCTGCTGCCCATGTTCACCAGCAATAGTTTTATCAGTACTATTTTTCCCTGGAAGAGCATGGTGACAAATAGCAGCATGAGAGTTTGCATAAATGGGAGAAATCAGAGTTGGGAAGTGTCACGAGCGGTGTTTCCACAGGGTCCAGTGTTGGGCCCCCTGCTGTTCGACAATCTACATAAACGACATAGATGAGGGCATACAGAGCGAACATCGGCAAGTTTGCCGATCGACAACCAAATAGGCCGTCGAATTCCATCTGACGAGACCATCGATCACTCCAGGAAGATTTGAATAGACTGAATGCAGTGGAAGTTCGGAGAAGTGGCAGATGCAGTTGTAATATAGACAGCATGAAAAGTTCTAAATGTTGGACAGGACAATATCATGCCAACATATAAACTAAATCAGTAGATCTTAATTTTAACGGATTGCGAAAAAGATTTAGGGAAGCTTCTGGTTAGGCAGTAATCTGAAACCAAGAACAAAGTGCATAAGTTTCGCAATAAAGCTAATAGAAAATCCTGTGGCTTCATATCAAGAAGCAAAATAATAGGAGTCCTCAGTTGTTCTTCAGACTCTATACATCCTGGTTAGCCTCAATTTAGATTATCTGGCACAGTTATGGTCACCTTATTACAGAATGGAAATAAATTCTCTGGAAAAAAATGTACAAATGAGGATGACAAAAGTTTGAGCCATGAGCATGAAACCTTCCCTACTAGATAGACTAAGGCCCTGAATCTGCACTCTCTAAAAGACGAAGAATTAGGGGGGCTATGATGAGGTGTATAAATGGAAGACCAGGACTAAATAAAGGGGGATGTAATAGTGTGTGAAAATATTAGCCTAGACAGGACTCGCAGCAATGGTTATTTAAGTTTGGAACATATTTAGATACAGGAAGGATATAGGAAAGTACGGGTTGGTAATAGAGTTGTGGATTAAGTGAAACAAACTCCCAATACCGTTATAGAGGCCAGAACGTTGTGTATCTTTAAAAATAGGTTGGGATAAATACAAGAGATGGATGTGGGTGGTGTGATTTAGACCAGATAGCTTGGGCTAGCCAGGTCCAGGGTTGCCGTGGTTCCTCCCTTAAGTCAATGTGAACCTGACCTGACGCGTTGGGTTCATTGGCTTAAAGCCGGTAGGAGACCTTTGACCTGCCCCACGCATGGGCCAAAGGGGTTAAAAACGGCCTTCTGCAGTGTTCCTTCGTCAATTTCTCATGTTCTAATGTACTTGGGTATTAGTAGACTTTGTGGGTCGCATCCTGGACAATAGTTTTTTTTTTTTTTTATGGCCGGTAATCTCCCGACCCCGGGATTTTCAAGTAGTGGTTGACCCCCCCTGGCTCCCTACCTGGGAGTGTCTCGTAGACTTAAGTCTCCTATGCGAGTTCCCACCAAGCAGGATGTCCAGAAAAAGAAACATTTCATTATCATTCACTCCATCACTTCTTGCCAGAGACATCTTACACTACATTATAAAACCTGCAACATAATACGACCCCTTCATCAGAGTGCAGGCACTGTACTTCCCATCCCCAGAATCAAGTCCGCCGCCCGTTTTCCCTGAATCCCTTCATAAATGATACCTTCCTTGCACTAACAGCAGGGGGGGGGGGGGCAGCACGTCAAGTCCTATAAACCATTGCCCGTTTGCTCCTGTCTACACTCACTCTCACACTCGCTTTGCTGGAAGTCCCAACCCCTCATACAAACAACCTCCTTTACCCCCTCTCTCCGCCGTTCCTAGGTCCGACACCTACCCACGCCTTCCTCCACTACAGATTTATAAACTCTCGAAGTCATTCTAATTTCGTTCTCATTCCATTCTCTCGTACATCCCAAACCATCTCAATAACTCCTCCTCATCCTCAGGACCAATAGTATTTGGATAATCCCACACCTCCTCCTAATCTCCAAACTAGGATTTTCTGTAAAATTATATTCACACCACACATTTGCCCTCAGACATGACAATCCCACTGCCACCAGCCTTCTCCTCGCTGCAACGATTCATCACCATGCTTCTCACCCTTATACGAGTATTGGATAACTAAACACTCATACATTCCCTCTTGGGTTGCTTTTCATGGACAATGTTCTTTGTCTCCACAGCACAGACTCCTCAGTGCACCACTCACCTTTTCCCCCCCTCATCAATTCATGAGATCAACCTCATCCTTAATAGTCCCATCTCCTGACACGTCCACTCCTAAATATCTGAATACATTCAACCTCCTTCATACTCTCTCTCTGTTCCATCTAATTACCTGCAGATAGTTTCGACAGGTCAACGCCCCCGCAGCCTGACTGAGACCAGGCCTCAATGTGGGATAAGGTCTGATCAACCAGCTGCTACATCTGGCCGCTACGAACCACCGCCCGGTTTGGTCAGGTACTGACTTTTATGGTGCCGCCTGTCCAATGCCTTCTTGAGACAGCCAGGCATCTATTGGTAAATCCCCCTTATGGTGCTGGAGGCAGTTAAACAGTCCTTGATCCCTGACACTTATTGTGTTGATCTCTCAGTGTACTCGGTGGCACCCACTGCTTTTTCATCGGGGACATGTTCATCTCAGGCCGAGTCTTTTTGCCTTTCAAGAATGATTTTCGTGGTCAAGTTTGTACCAATCCACCCAGGACCTTCCAGTGTATATTATCATGTAATCTTTCTCGCCTGCGTTCCAGGGATATAGATCATGGACCTTCAATCTGTTTCCCAGTAGTTTAAGTGCTTATCGTACTTAAGTGTCCCATATCATAAAAATCTTTGAGGGTCCTAAAGAAGCAAGAATCCGCCACTCAATCTAGAATCCAATCAATTACACAACCAGGGCAACATGGTTTAGGAGCAGGTCGCTCCTGTTCTGTCCTCAACTACTGGAACACTATACGACAAGGTCCTAGATGCACTAAAACAAAAGAATGCAGATGTAATATATACAGACTTTGCAAAAGCCTTTGACAAGTGTGACCATGGCGTAACAGCGCATAAAATGCGTGCTAAAGGAATAACAGGAAAAGTTGGTAGATGGATCTATAATTTCCTCACAAACAGAACACAAAGAGTAGTAGTCAACAGAGTAAAGTCCGAGGCAGCTACGGTGAAAAGCTCTGTTCCACAACGCACAGTACTCGCTCCCATCTTGTTTCTCATCCTCGTATCTGACATAGACAAGGATGTCAGCCACAGCACCATGTCTTCCTTTGCAGATGACACCCGAATCTGCATGACAGTGTCTTCCATTGCAGACACTGCAAAGCTCCAGGTGGATATCAACCAAATCTTTCAGTGGGCTGCAGAAAACAATATGAAGTTCAACGATGAGAAATTTCAATTACTCAGATATGGTAAACACGAGGAAATTAAATCTTCATCAGAGTACAAAACAAATTCTGGCCACAAAATAGAGCGAAACACCAACGTCAAAGACCTGGGAGTGATCATGTCGGAGGATCTCACCCTTCAAGGACCATAACATTGTATCAATCGCAGCTGCTAGAAAAATGACAAGATGGATAATGAGAACCTTCAAAACTAGGGAGGCCAAGGCCATGATGACACTCTTCAGGCTACTTGTTATATCTAGGCTGGAATATTGCTGCACTCGAACAGCACCTTTCAAGGCAGGTGAAATTGCTGACCTAGAAAATGTACAGAGAACCTTCACGGCGCGCATAACGGAGATAAAACACCTCAATTATTGGGAGCGCTTGAGGTTCCTGAACCTGTATTCCCTGGAACGCAGGCGAGAGAGATACATGATCATATACACCTGGAAAATCCTAGAGGGACTAGTACCGAACTTGCACACGAAAATCACTCACTACGAAAGCAAAAGACTTGGCAGACGATGCACCATCCCCCCAATGAAAAGCAGGGGTGTCACTAGCACGTTAAGAGACCATACAATAAGTGTCAGGGGCCCGAGACTGTTCAACTGCCTCCCAGCACACATAAGGGGGATTACCAACAGACCCCTGGCAGTCTTCAAGCTGGCACTGGACAAGCACCTAAAGTCAGTTCCTGATCAGCCGGGCTGTGGCTCGTACGTTGGTTTGCGTGCAGCCAGCAGCAACAGCCTGGTTGATCAGGCTCTGATCCACCAGGAGGCCTGGTCACAGACCGGGCCGCGGGGGCGTTGACCCCCGGAACTCTCTCCAGGTAAACTCCTGGTATCTATTTTTTTTCCTCCTCCTCCTCTTTCTTCATCATCATCATCATCATCATCATCATCATCATCATCATCATCATCATCATCATCATCATCATCATCATCATCATCATCATCATCATCATCATCATCATCATCATCATCATCATGTTATTATTATTATTATTATTATTATTATTATTATTAATATTATTATATTAAACATCTGCTGCTCTCTGCACTATGGTGAGCTCTAAAGTAAAGTGGGCAGGAGTTATGCAGTACGGGGATATCTTCCTCGGATCACTTAGCGGTTTAAATGCATCTAGATGGGACAGCGTTCGGCTCTGTATAGAGCTTTATTAAGTCATGTTGCACGTTCTGTATCATATGTTGCTCTATGTTTAATTGAATTAAATATTTAAATACAGAGTCAAGATGCTTCTTACATTAAATAAATGAAACAGTATAAAAATACAAAGGAAATTAGTATGAAACCTTTGGATGTGTCCACAGAAGACTTTCTGATGATAATGGTTCCTTCTCGACAACGTCTAATATTGCTGCTGATATCCATCCTGAGTCCAGTGCTTTCACAATGTCCGCCTCGCTGATAACATCACCTCGACCAACATTAATCAACACAGCATTCTTCCTGGTGAGAACAAATTAGTTGAGTTACAGATAATAACAAACATTAAATCTATTATTCTCGCTTCGTTATCTAAGCCTCTTAATATCTATTATGCAGAGACTTACCATCAACTCTCATTTATGCCTTTGGATATTATGGTGTATAAATAAATATTTGTTTTTACATTAATGATATTGTGTAATCACATTTTACATAGCACTTGAGGTATGCAGTGACGCAGTGACGCAAGAGCAACGAACTACAGACCAATAGCGCCCAATATCATAAAAGTCTTTGACAGGTTTGTAAGAAGCAAGGTCACCACCCATCTAGATACCCATCAATTACACAACCCAGAGCTGTACAGCTTTAGAACAGGTCGCTCCTGTCTGTCCCAACTGCTGGACCACCACGACAAGGTTCTAGATGCTCTAGAAGACAAACAGAATGCAGATGTAATATACAGAGACTTTGTAAAAGCCTTTGACAAATGTGACCATGGTGTAATAACGCACAAAATGTGTGATAAGAGAATTACAAGAAAAGTTGGTAGATGGATCTATAATTTCCTAACAAACAGAACACAAAGAGTCGTAGTCAACAGAGTAAAGTCTGAGGCGGCTACGGTGAAAAGCTCTGTTCCACAAGGCACAGTACTCGCTCACACCTTGTTCCTCATCCTCATATCTGACATAGATAGGGATATAAGCTCAGCGCTGTGTCTTCTTTCGCAGATGACACCCGAATCTGCATAACAGTGTCCTCCACTGAAGACACTGCAAGACTCCAGGCGGACATCAACCAAATCTTTAAATGGGCTGCAGAAAACGACATGAAGTTCAATGATGAGAAATTTCAACTACTCCAATATAGAAAACGTGAGGAAATTAAAACTATGTCGGAGTATAAAAGAAATTCCAACTACACAGTAGAGCGAAAAGTAATGTCAAAGACCTGGGAGTGATAATGTCAGAGGATCTCACTTTCAAAGACCACATAATTGCATCAATCGCATCTGCTAGAAAAAAGGCAGGTTGGATAATGAGAACCTTCAAAACTAGGGATGCCAAGCCATTGATGAGACTTCAAGTTGCTTTTTCTATCTAGGCTGGAATATTGCTGCACACTAACAGCACCTTTCAAGCAGGTGAAATTGCTGACCTAGAAAATGTAGAGAACCTTCACAGCACACATAACTGTCGTTTCTTGTGATCTCTCCTCCTTCCTTCCTTCCTTAGCCTGATTACCTGGTCCTTGACTGTGTGCGTGTGTGTGTGTACTCACCTATTTGTACTCACCTATTTGTGGTTGCAGGGGTCGAGTCTTTAGCCCTGGCCCCGCCTCTTCACCGGTTGCTACGGGGCCCTCTCTCTCCCCGCTCCATGAGCTTTATCAAACCTCGTCTTAAAACTGTGTATGGTTCCTGCCTCCACTACGTCATTTTCTAGGCTATTCCACTGTCTTACAACTCTATGACTGAAGAAAATACTTCCTAATACTCTCTGACTCATTTGTGTCTTCAACTTCCAATTGGGCCTCTTGTTTCTGTGTCCCCTCCCTGGAACATCCTGTCTTTGTCCACCTTGTCTATTCCACGCAGTATTTTATATGTCGTTATCATGTCTCCCCTGACCCTCCTGTCCTCCAGTGTCGTCAGGCCGATTTCCCTTAATCTTTCTTCATAGGACATTCCCCTTAGCTCTGGAACTAACCTTGTCGCAAACCTTTGTACTTTCTCTAGTTTCTTGACGTGCTTTATCAAGTGTGGGTTCCAAACAGGTGCTGCATCCTCCAATATGGCCTGACATACACGGTGTACAGTGTCTTGAACGATTCCTTACTAAGGTATCGGAATGCTGTTCTCAGGTTGCAGGCGCCCATATGCTGCAGCAATTATCTGATTGATGTGTGCTTCCGGAGACATGCTCGGTGTTATACTCACCCCAAGATCTTTCTCCTTGAGTGAGGTTTGCAGTCCCTTTTTCCACCTAGCCTATACTCTGTCTGTGGTCTTCTGTCCCTTCCCCTATCTTCATGACTTTGCATTTGGCAGGATTAAATTCGAGAAGCCATTTGCTGGACCAGGTGTCCAGTCTGTCCAGGTCTCCTTGAAGTCCTGCCTGGTCCTCATCAGATTTAATTCTCCTCATTAACTTCACATCATCTGCAAACAGGGACACTTCTGAGTCTAACCCTTCCATCATGTCGTTCACATATACCAAAAATAGCACTGGTCCTAGGACCGACCCCTGAGGGACCCCGCTCGTCACAGGTGCCCACTGTGATACATCATTACGTACCATGACTCGTTGTTGCCTCCCTGTCAGGTATTCTCTGATCCATTGCAGTGCCCTTCCTGTTATATGCGCCTGATGCTCTAGCTTCTGCACTAATCTCTTGTGAGGAACTGTGTCAAAGGCCTTCTTGCAGTCCAAGAAGATGCAATCAACCCACCCCTCTCTCTCGTGTCTTATTTCTGTTATTTTATCATAAAACTCCAGAAGGTTTGTGACACAGGATTTGCCTTCCATGAATCCGTGCTGGTTGGCATTTATACTCCTGTTCCGTTCCAGGTGCTCCACCACTCTCCTCCTGATAATCTTCTCCATAACTTTGCATACTATACACCTCAATGACACAGGTCTATTGTTTAGCGCCTCTTTTCTGTCTTTTTTTTTAAAAATGGGAACTACATTTGCCATCTTCCATACCTCAGGTAGTTGCCCAGTTTCCAGGGACGTGTTGAAGATTGTGGTACCTGGAGTTTACCTGGAGAGAGTTCCGGGGGTCAACGTCCCCGCGGCCCGGTCTGTGACCAGGCCTCCTGGTGGATCAGAGCCTGATCAACCAGGCTGTTACTGCTGGCTGCACGCAAACCAACGTACGAGCCACAGCCCGGCTGATCAGGAACCGACTTTAGGTGCTTGTCCAGTGCCAGCTTGAAGACTGCCAGGGTCTGTTGGTAATCCCCCTTATGTGTGCTGGGAGGCAGTTGAACAGTCTCGGGCCCCTGACACTTATTGTATGGTCTCTTAACGTGCTAGTGACACCCCTGCTTTTCACTGGGGGGATGGTGCATCGTCTGCCAAGTCTTTTGCTTTCGTAGTGAGTGATTTTCGTGTGCAAGTTCGGTACTAGTCCCTCTAGGATTTTCCAGGTGTATATAATCATGTATCTCTTCCGCCTGCGTTCCAGGGAATACTGGTTCAGAAACCTCAAGCGCTCCCAGTAATTGAGGTGTTTTATCTCCGTTATGCGCTCCGTGAAGGTTCTCTGTACATTTTCTAGGTCAGCAATTTCACCTGCCTTGAAAGGTGCTTTTAGTGTGCAGCAATATTCCAGCACAACATATCTGCTCCCTCTATAAGGACCCACGGGGAGATGTTGTCCGGTCCCATTGCCTTTGAGGTATCGATGTCCCTTAGCAATTTCTTCACCTCCTCCTCATCTGTATGTATGTCGTCCAACACTTGTTGGTGTATTCCTTGCTGGTGTCCCCATCTGGTCTGTCCCCCCAGAGTCCTTCCTGTCTCTACTGTAAATACTTCCTTAAATCTCGTGTCGAGCTCCTCACATACCTCTTGATCGTTTCTTGTGAGTTCTCCACCTTCTTTCCTCAACCTTATCACCTGGTCCTTGTGTGTGTGTGTGTGTGTGTGTGTGTGTGTGTGTGTGTGTGTGTGTGGGGTGTGTGTGTGTGTGTGTGTGTGTGTGTGTGTGTGTGTGTGAGTATGTGTGTGTGTGTGTGACCCACCAATTAATATTTGCACCAATAACTTATTACAGTTGTGACCGGGTGTGGTCGTGTGAATTGCTCATTACTCTATAATTTGTTCATGAATGTAGCCATGAATAAGCGTAAGTAAACTTACTTACATGATTCATTACCTTTGTAAATTGTTCAGCCATCAAAACTTTGGGGTCCAGTCCCTGGACCCGTTATGTACCTCTGTAATCTTTTGACTACCGCCCACAGGATGGGTATGGGGTGCATAATAAACATAATTATCTAAACCTAACCTAACATATAACTGGAGTTAAACACCTCAATTACTGGGAATGCATGATGTTCCTCAACCTGTACTCCCTAGAACGCAGGCGGGAGAGATATATAATTATATATACTCGGAAAATCCTAGAGGGATTACTACCAAACTAGCACACGAAAATCACTCCCTGGCATAGCAAAAGACTAGGCAGACGATGCCACATCCCCCCAATGAAAAGCAGAGGTGCCATTGGCAAGAGAAGAAACAACACGACAAGTGTCAGGGGCCCAAAACTTTTCAACTGCCTCCCAGCATACATAAGGGGGATTTCCAATAGACCTCTAGCTGTCTTTAAGAAGGCACCAGACATGCACCTAAAGTCAGCACTTGACCAGCCTGGCTGTGGTTCGTACGTCGGGTTGAGTGTGTGGAACAGTAGCAGGCTGGTTGATCAGCTTCTGATCCACCATGAGGCCTTGTCACAGGCCGGGCCGCGGGGGCGTTGACCCCTGGAACTGTCTCTCTAGGTATACTCCAGTTATACGTTTAAAGATATATTTTTTCATATATGCCAATATATATATATATATATATATATATATATATATATATATATATATAATATATATATATATATATATATATATATACATATATTCATTGGACCCTCAGTTAACGCCTGCATCAGATAGCGACAAAATCGGATAACGATTCGCTTTGGCGTAAACAAATTGGCTCGGACAGCACCTAAAAACTCAGGAGCTTCGTCCTATTACTATGTCATATTAGCCATAATAATATTATGTCATATTAGATGAACTGTGATAGATAAATAAGCCGTAAAGATGATATTAGCGTAATATTGAAGCATAATAAACTCGCCTTCCTCTCACCTCCTACATGTCTGCTACACTCACAGCATGTCTGCTACACTCCCAGCATGTCTGCTACACTCACAGCATGTCTGCTACACTCCCTGCATGTCTGCTACACTCACAGCATGTCTGCTACACTCCCTGCATGTCTGCTACACCCT